CAAGTTAAGTTGCAACATGCAATGCCAGCATCCCACAAGGGTGCCCGTTAAATCCCAGCTGCTCCTCCTTCAATCCAGCTCCCTGCTAATGCGCCTGGGAAAGCAACAGAAGGTGGGGCAAGTGCTTGGGTCTTTGCCACTTACATGGGAGACCTGAATGAAGCTCAGGAACCTGGCTTCGGTGTGGCCCAGCCGGGTAATTGTGTCCATTTGGGCATGAGTGATCCAGCAGATAAAAGATCTCTCCATCCCTCTCGCTCTGTAGACTCTGTCTTTCAAATAAGTAAACAAATAGTTTAAAAAAGAGACAACCCCATTAAGTGTCAACTACTCCTTTTGAGCATGTATAATGTGCTTGCTATTGTACTGGGTTATTTATTTTTATTTTTCCATATACTTCATTTTTTATTTATTATTAAACTTCTATATCAAGTAATTAAACTTTTTCAAACTAAATAGGATGTGCATTTTTACATGATCTTAAAAATTCCAGAAGCTTATAGTGAGATCTGGATCTTTTTTCCTCCCTCCCCTTGTCTCTTGAACATCTACTGCGGTAATTGCTGCTCCCTGCACTAGTAGGTCCCTTCAGAGAAATTCAAGCCTTGCACAAAACACACCATTCTTTTTCCCAAATAACAGCATACTACATCCAGATTCCTTGCTCAGCTTTGCTCACTTATCAGTGTGCCTAAGAGCTTGTCCCATAACAGAACATGCAACTCCAAAAATTGTGCAATGTAGGGACACTGCATGTAACTTATCTAAGTGCCAAATATGTTTGAAAACCAAGCATTTTTTCCTAACACATTTTTCATGGACTTAAAGAATGATGGCTTTATTAGAAAGACAGAGAGAGAGAAAGAGAGCTTCCATCTGTTGGCCCATTCCGCAAATGCCTGCAAGAGAACAAAGCCAGGAGTGGGGCACTAAGGTCTCCTGGGGACAAGAATGGTTCTCAGCCATGGAATAATGTCTCTCTCCCTCTTTCCTCTGCAGTGTGGGTCACATTGGTAGGGATCCCAGTGTGCTGAGTATGCACACACTGCATGCACAGACCCGTGTCATTGCTCATCAGGGGAGCAGTGACATTTCTTGGGCCTGTCCTGGAGTCTGTGAGCTACCAAGGAGCCATGAGGAGGACTGCAGTGTCCTCTGAGCTGCCCCACTGGCTGGAAGGGAGAGGGTCCACGTCAGACTGGCACCCTGTGACCAGCTGTTTAGCTCTCAATATGTCACCCAGCCACAGTTAAGGCATAATCATCTCTCCCATAGCATTGCCTGAAATTGCAGTTCATCCACAGACGACACATCCATCAGCTGCCTCCACTCTGTCATGGCCTTTGTGTGGATTTTTCCTATGGTGTTAATGGATTGTTCCTATGGTTAATGGTTAGGGTGGGCTGACTGCTACTGAGCTGAGTCTCCTATAAACATGTTTGATGAATGGCATTGAATCCCTTTAATCAGCATCTCTAGTTCATTTGGAATCTTGGTGCAGATGACAGAAAGGATCCCTCTGCGTGTTGCAGCCCTGACACTGGCACTGGGCAAGAAGAGGATCAGGATTTGGGAGCCTTTGCCACTTCGTCAGGCAATAGATTGCTTTTTCCTAGCTACCCCTGCCTCCTCCACACTTGGGTCCCAGCTATCCTCTTCCTTGTGTCACAGAAACCCCTGGGAACCATCCAGCAGACAGTGAATTCAACCTGGGATTTTTAGAATTGCAGGGCGTTCAATGTGTATGGAGTGTTTAGCACTGAATTTGGCAGCTTCTGTAAAAGCTTAACAAAGGATAGTTTGCGCTCTGCTCCCCTCCCCCAAATAGTCTAAAGTTAAGCAATTTCTTAAGTAAGTGAAGAATGTTACATGTAAAGACCAAACTTCCCTAATGCCCAAGAGGGGCAAAACACAGGCAGACTGGATTTCACATCCCCATGGCATCTGCTTCCTCCTCCAACAACTCCACTGATCAAGCCTCTGCAATATGCTACGTGAGGAGCCGACACTCCCCTTTGCTCACTCTATGGGCAGACATGAGAAAGAACCCCAGTCCTGCAGGCAAGCAGGGATGGACTCAGAGATTCCAGACTCCCCCATCACTTAACCTTGAGAGGGCAGACAGAAGTTCCTGGGCGGAAGGACTGACCACAGGCACCAAGAGATAGACAATGGTTTCTAAGAGCTCTTGGCTTCCTCTTGAGCTCAGCTTTGAAGCTCTTTCAGAGAAGGGGAGGATGACTAAGTCCAGGATATCTAACTAACCCCTCTCGTACCCCAGGACTTAACCACTTCTGCTGTTCAGCAGCAGCCAGCCTGGAAAAAGTGTGCTCCTGCAGCCACCATGTGCATGGAGTAGCAGTTGTTTCCCCTACCAACAGGCTTGTGTCATAGGGATCTGACATTGGTGTAGTTCAGCAGGAGCTGAGCCAGCCACTTCACACTGTTCAACTGAAAGGTTATTGATTAGGCCCACAGTCAGGGATACCTCTCTGAGAAAGGGGCACCGAAGCTAGAGACAAAGAAAGCACACATCTTTTCTGCCCTGCCCCAGCCTGAGCCAGTCCAGGGCAGAGAGTGTTGGCCTGGAAGAACCTGGGTGGACACAGGACACATGGCAGAGGCAGGCAAGAGAGAAGCACCTCGCAGGCTGGGCGGGTTGTCCCCTTTCCGGGGCAGTCATTGCGTGGGTAAACCATCGTGAACAGGGTGCAGTAGGTGTGGAAACTCCGTTGGTTACAGAACTTGAGCTTTGCTTTCAGTTGTGGTGAGGAGGGAGGCAGGTGACAACCAGGAGGACCCTGGGAGTTCCTGAAAGGCATGTCTGCAAGGCCACAAGAAGGAGGAGGTGGCACTTGGGTGCTCAATGTGACAGGCTGCCCTGTCTACCAACTCTGGTTGAGAAGAGAGAGAAGATGCATGTCCCACAATGTACAGAAGTGTCTTCTTTTGCCATTTTTTGTTGTTGTTGTTGTTGTTCAGAAGGCGATAAGAGATAAGAATAGTGGGGAAAGCCAAAGCTGGCAATGATCAGGCAACTAGCCACTTGAGGTCCCGCCCAGCAGACAAGTAGAGTATTATTCCCCATCTTGAACCAGCCATCCCCTCTGGAAGGCATAACTCAAATCATAGCAGCCTTCTTCCTCACCAAGGGCTTGTAGGATGACCCATCTTCCTGGTCTTTCGGGGCAGGGGTGTTCCCATTAGAAGTGGTGTGCAACTCAGAGTAAGTGGCTTAACCTAGCAAATGCAGCATTCAAGGAGAAATGAAATAAAATGCACCTATTTGGGTTCAAAGATGGAAGGCCTCCGTGTGTGAGAGGTCTACAAAAAGTTCATGCAAAATTCCCATTGTGAAATGGATCATGTGTGAATTTCAAATTTTTCTGCATCAAAACAAATTGATCTTCTCTTTTTTATATTAATTTAGAATTATTTAGGACACAGAGAGACAAAAGGAGCAAACAAGGCTCCGATGTTGTTCATTCCTCCAGATACCCACGAAGGCCCCAGGACTGGCTGGGCCAAAGCCAGGAGCAAGGGAACACAAAGTCCTTCTCATGGGTGTCAGAAATTCAGTTATTTGTGCCATTACTTCTCTGGTCTGCATGAGCAGGAATCTAGAGTCAGGAGCTGCAGCCCGGTGTTAAACCCAAGTATTCTGACAGGGTGCATGGGCATTCATTTGTCACCTGGTATTTTATTTATTAGGATATCTGTCCACCTCACATGAACTTTTTGAAGCACCTCTGCCCGACTCTGATCCCTGTTAAGAAAGAGAAGGACTTGATGGTTCCAAAAGAAAAAGAAGAGAATTGATTCTCAAACACAAAGGATGGAGGAACAAAGAGAAGCGTGTTGATAGATGCAGCTGAACAAAGCACTCCTAATGGTTGACAACCAATACTGTTCATTTCAAAACAGCTAGTAAAGAGGGTTTTGAGAGTCCAGTGCGATAGCTTAGCGGCTGGAGTCCTCTCCTTGAATGCACCGGGATCCCATATGGGTGCCGGTTCTAATCCCGACAGCCCCACTACCCATCCAATTCTCTGCTTGTGGCCTGGAAAAGCAGTCGAGGATGACCCAAAACCTTGGTATCCTGCACCCATGTGGGAAACCTGGAAAAAGTCCCTGGCTCCTGGCTTTGCATTGGCACGGCTCTGGCTGTTGCAGTCACTTGGGGAGTGAATCATCAGATGGAAGATTTTCCTCTCTGTCTCTCCTCCTCTCTATATATCTGACTTTGCAATAAAAATAAATAAATCTTTAACAAAAGAGGGTTTTGAATGCTCCCAACACAAAAGAAATGATCAATGTCAGAAGAGATTGCCATACCGATTACCCTGATGATTACACATTACCTACATGCAGTGCAGCGTCAGTGTGCCCCATAAATATGTACAGTTACAACTACTATGTGCCTATTGAAATGTTTAAAAAATAATGAATAAGACAAAGGTGAGGTCATTTGGGTATTTGCTTGCTTGAGGTCCTGGGATGGCATCAGACCTCTCCTTCTAGGCCAAGCTTCATAAAGGAGAAATGAGGGGGCAGAGGGCAGAGAATGTGGACGAAAGGGAGGATTGCTTTGAGGGGAGAAAGGACTGGGAGTCGAGGTTTGGCTGCACCCCTACACTCCCACTCTCCTCTCAACTCCTGCCCCATCCACCCACCAGCCAAGGTTACCTCCCTTTTGGAGACAACTGTAGAAAACAAAAAAAAAAAATCTGTTTCAAGCTTCAGACCCTGAGCCTGGTTCTGTGTGACTCTGGCCAAGTCACTAGACCTCTCAAGAATCCTGGCTTGCTCTCTGGAGCCTGCTGCAGGCTCCATCAGAGTACTGGGGGTAGGGAGGCTGCAAGGTGACAGTGTGAAGTTACAACTGACCTGAATGCCCAGCCAGAGCTTTCGGCTTCCTGCCTGCCTCATAAGGCACCAGAGTATTACTTCATTCCTCTGAGAATTAATGCTAACAGTACTTGTTTTCCTTTGTGATCCAGGTCCCCGCCATGACCGCCTTCTACCCCGAGTGGGGTACAGAGGCCTTTGAGTATGACGAGTCTGCAGAAGCCTGTTTTTTAGGGGACATCGTGACCTTTGGGACTGTCTTTTTCTCCATATTCTACCCCATTGTCTTTGCCTTTGGCCTGGTGGGGAACCTTCTGGTGGTGTGTGCCCTCAACCACAGCCGGAAGCCCAAGAGCATCACGGACATTTACCTCCTGAACCTGGCCTTATCCGATCTGCTCTTCGTGGCCACTTTGCCCTTCTGGACTTACTACGTGATAACCGAACAAGGCTTCCACAATGCCGTGTGCAAACTCACGACTGCTCTGTTCTTCATCGGCTTCTTCGGAGGCATGTTCTTCATCACCATCATCAGCATCGACAGGTTCATGGCCATTGTCCTGGCCGCCAACTCCATGAACAACCGGACGGTGCAGCATGGCATCATCACCAGCCTGGCCGTCTGGGCAGCAGCCATCCTGGTGGCAGCGCCCCAGTTCATGTTCACAAAGCAAACAGGAAACGAATGTCTGGGTGACTACCCTGAGGTGCTCCAAGACATCTGGCCTGTGCTGCGCAACATAGAGTATAATGTCCTGGGCTTTTTGCTGCCCCTTCTCATCATGAGCTACTGCTACTTCAGAATCATCCACACCCTGTTTTCCTGCAAGAACCACAAGAAAGCCAGGGCCATCAAACTCATCTTACTGGTGGTCATTGTCTTCATCCTCTTCTGGACCCCCTACAATGCCATCATTTTCCTGGAGATCCTCAAGTTCTACGGCTTCTTTCCCAACTGTGACATGAAAAGGGACCTGAGGTTGGCACTCACTGTCACTGAGACAGTGGCATTTAGCCACTGTTGCCTCAATCCCTTCATCTATGCTTTTGCTGGAGAGAAGTTCAGGAGATACCTGCGCCACTTGTACAGGAAATGCCTGGCTTCCCTATGCGGCCGTTCGGTCCATGTCAGTTTTTCCCCATCTGAGTCTCAGAGGAGCAGGCAGGAAAGCATTGTCAGCAGCAATTTTACTAGCCATACAAGTGACAGAGATGCGTCCATCCTTCTCTGAAGGGATGCCCATAGTCTTGTCTCCTCAGAGCCCACAGTTTGCAGATCTGGCAGTGTTGGATTTTGTTTCCTGATGTTCATGAAACAACCTTGAAGTGTTTCTGAAAACTGTTCAAATTTACAATGACTAAACCTAAACTTGTCTCCTTACTGCAATTGTTAGGCCTTTTTCGTTGCTGTTGTTAAATAAGTCATGACCATTATAACCCAGAGTAGCTTTGTTAAAATGGGGTGGTATCGTTCACGTTGTGGTATCGGCCAAGGGCTGGGTGAATGGAAACTGTGGCTTGAAGGTAACTGCAGGCTGCTCTTCCCAGCCTGCTGAGTAGTGAGAATCCCTCACCCACAGCTTCAGTACCATGAAGGGATCTCCTTCCTCCCTCCCCAGTCCAGGGAGGGTTCTCCCTGGCCAACAGGGAAGACAGGAGCTTCCCTGCCGATCTCATGGCTGGAGATCCAGGAAGACACATTTCTGGGAAGCTGGGAGGGGTGATGCCATTGCAAGCAGTCAGAATGAGGGCTGCACAACATCCCCACCACGAGCCTGCCCCAGCGTCTCCCCGACACAACGGTAGACATCCTGGCAGGTGTTTCCACTCCTGCGTTTGCCCCTCCAGATCTTGCTCATCTTTTACTACTTGAGAGTTGCAGTCAGATGGTGCAGTTTTGTAAATCTGCTTCTTCTAAACAGCAGACCCCAAAAAGCTTTGTTTCCATGTAGCTTTGCCACTTCTGTTCAGTCACAGACTTGGAGGGCAGGTGAAGTGTCTGATTCATGGCTGGGTGTCTGGCAGTCTGTGTGTGTGTTCAATCAATGGGGAAATGAGGTATTGTTTTCGAGATCATGCGCAATAACTTACCCACTGTTGCTCTGTTGATAATATCTCCCTCTACCCAGAAATGGGAAGAAAACATAGAAAGTTTGGAAACAATGATCACACCCACTTCTCCCTGACCCTCGATCCTTCCGACCCTGATCAACTATGCAAACATCATCTAAAATTTAAAAAAGTAAAAAAAAACCAAAAACCTCCAAATACCAATTTTGCTCCTATGCATGATATTTTTTGTACTCTGTATATTAGTTTATCACAAATCAGGAAAATACACAATACTCATCTTTTTGGATCTGGCTTATTTCACTAAGCATGTTTTCTAGTTGCAACTATTTTGTTGCAGAAGACAGGACTTCATTGTTTTTAGGATTCAGTAGCATTCCATTGTGTACATATATCACAATGTCCTTTTCCAGCCATCAGCTCATGGACATGTGGGCTGGTTCTGTATCTTGGCGATTGTGCGCTAATTTGTTAGGCATGAGCATCTTGAACGGTAACTCCCATGATGTTAGTTTTAAGACACCTACAACAATTTACATTAAGCAATAAATATTCTACTTAGGATAACTTCGAAATAAACATTACATCATTTAACTATTCTCAGAGTTGATGACTTGGGAACTGATAAATCAGGGAATGAAAAAACCTTGTGCAAAAATTGAATGGTACTTGGAGCACAATGGGTCCAGAGAAACTTCTGGAACCAGGCCTGTTAGCTACAGCCATTGGCTTACAACTAATGGAAGGGGTGGATGCCCTGAGGGTGTTCACAGGTTTGCTTCATTATTACGTGATTTGCACTCCAACTATTGGATCATGAGACTTCTAATTTAAAAGTTTAACTCTTGATAGAGGAGCTTGGGAAACTCCTTCATCAGGATGAAATCTTGCAGATGAGCACCAAGAATCAAGGCAAGAAGCAGCCCAGACCATGTCAGGTTACAGAACCTGTTGCCATACATGTGGCTCAGGTAGGGGACAGACCAGGTGGGCCAATTCATAACATTCACTGGCAGATCTGGGAACTAAAACAGGAGGGACCAGGTTGAGCCACACCAGCCAGTTCACATCAGGGCTACGACAGGGATATGGCTGGGCTGGGCTAGGCTGCAGCACCCACCAGCATGAGCTGGAACTGGGGGCAGGCTGCACTGAGCCAGACTGCAAAGCGATTATGGATGCTGAGGTGAGACAAGCCCTGCCAGCCTGGGGTCAGTGGATGCTGGGTTCATGAGTCCCAGGAATGGGGGATCCAGTGGGGTGCAAGTCACCTGGCTCAGGTCTCTTGGCCCACCTGAAAGAATATGCTCTCCGCTGTGAAACGGCAGAGTAGTGGATGCAGACCCTGATGCTCATGGAGAATATGGCAGCCCATTTGGTATGGTAACAGGATAGCAAAACAAATTGGACAACTATCCCAGCCAAACAACGACAGCAAAAATCCGGGTGAGGGATCCTCACAATAGCCCAGCAGCTAAAGTCCTCGCCTTGCACGTATCAGAATCCCATATGGGTGCTGGTTCTAATCCCAGCAGCCCCACTTCCCATCCAGCTCCCTGCTAGTGGCCTGGGAAAGCAGTCGAGAATGGCCCAATGCATCGGGACCCTGCACCCGTGTGGGAGACCTGGAAGAGGCTCTGGGCTTTTGGCTTCGGATTGGCTCAGTTCCGGCTGTTGCAGCCACCTGGGGAGTGAATCAGGGGATGGAAGATCTTCCTCTCTGTCTCTCCTCCTCTCTGTATATCTGACTATGCAATAAAAATAAATAAATCTTTTTAAAAAACAGCAAATTTGGAAACGATGATTTCAGCCATTTTTCCCTAACCCTCGATCCTTCCCATCCTGATCAATCATGTAATCATCAGAAAAAATAAAAAATAAAAAACAGTCTAACTACCCAAAGAGGGAAATTAAAAAAAAAACTAATCCTTTTAACTTGAGAAATAAGAGTAGGAAAGCAAACACCATCATTTCTAGTAAATAAATAAATAGGTATCACAAGAGATCCCCTCTATACTCAGTCCTTCATTCCTTTGGTTGGATAGCACAGAATAGAGAGAAAATGAAGATGTTCACTGAACACGTCAAAATAGCAAGAATGTTGATATCTGGCTCCTAGCTAATGTCTTATCTGCACCTTCCAAACACGGCGAGCTTGTCCTGCCCCAGGAGCTGATTCCCTGTTCCAAGCGGGCACCACTTGCTGGCCCACAGGAACAAGTCAGTCTCACCAGGACTCACTGTTGGCTTCGCTTATTGAGTTGGCAACTGCGTTTTGAACTTCCCAACAATAAGCCAAGTGGGGGAAGTGGATCTGGGCTAATTTAGAAATATCGACTTCTCTTCAAGACCCGCTAACGACCCTGGAAGAGACCCGCTGCACCCTGAAGGATGTGTGGTACCCCATTTCTGTCTCCACCCTCCAAGTGCATTGGGGTTAAGCAACATAAAGTGTTCCTCCAGCCACACCCCACACAGCACATGAGCAATCACACGGTGGGAAAATACCTCTGGCATCCTTCCTCATTGGTCTGGCTAGAACCGAAGCAACATTTTAATTTGCACTTTTTCTTATTTCCTCGTACATTTCAGTAGGTACAGTGTGGCACTTCATTACATGTACCCGCTGAGCAATGAGCATAATTTGCATCTATTGGATAACTAGCTACAATGATTCAGTTTTCAATGTGTTTTAAACCTCTACATGATTTTTCTTTTCTTTTTTTTTAAGATTTATTTTTATCACAAAGTCAAATATACAGAGAGGAGGAGAGACAGAGAGAAAGATCTTCCATTCCCTGATTCACTCCCCAGGTGACTGCAACAGCCGGAACTGAGCCAGTTCGAAGCCAAAAGCCCAGAGCCTCTTCCAGGTCTCCCACACGGGTGCAGGGTCCCATAGCCTTGGGCCATTCTCGACTGCTTTCCCAGGCCACTAGCAGGGAGCTGGATGGGAAGTGGGGCTGCTGGGATTAGAACCAGCACCCATATGGGATTCTGATACGTGCGAGGCGAGGACTTTAGCCACTAGGCTACCATGCCAGGCCCCTGATTTTTCTGATTCTAAATGAAACACAGAGAGTAGAGAGAACATGGGAAATAAAAACTTTTGTTTCATTTTTCTAAAGATTTATTTATTTTTATTGGAAAGGCAGATTTACAGAGAAAAAGAGAGAGAAAGATCTTTCATCTGCTGGTTCACTCCTCCAAAGGCCACAACAGCCAGAGCTGAGCTGATCAGAAGCCTAGAGCATGTGCACGTGCAGGATCCAAAGACTTGGGTCATCCTCTGATGCTTTCACAGACCACAAACGGGCTGTATCAAAGCTGAGACACAAACCCAATGGCACCCATATGGGATGTCAATGCTTCAAGGTGGAGGATTAGCCTGTTGAGCTGGCCCCCAAACAAGGAACTTTGAATCACTCTAGTTTTCCACCTCCTAGAGATAAAAGACTCACTGAGACTCCCAGGGAAAGGGGTGAATGCCCCTTTGAAAGCAAGCAATCTCTTGAGGTACACGCACCACCCAACACACACCGCTCCCTGCCCCTACCTCCTAGTCCTGTGTTCACTGCGCTGGCAAGGGGAGAACTGTGCCTGCACTTATCCAAAGGCAAACCTGCAGTGTGAGCCCCTTGTACTTTTGTTTTCTTTTTGTTGTCTTTGTTTGCATCTCTGGCATTGGAATATAGAACACTTACACATCACAGCCTTGAGTCTCCTGAATTTGCTCCTTGGCTCCCTGAGGTGAATCAGCAGGGCTATGTAGAGCAGGTTTTATTAACCATCACCTCCTCCCCCTCCCCCCCCCTTTTTTTTATTCTAGAGGCAAATCAAGAATTCAAAACACTTTTTAACATCTTGTCTGAACATCTTTGAGAAAGTAGAGCTGGGTCCCCTGGGACTGGCTTCAGGCACCAGGGCAGGTTGCTGCAGGATGTTCCAGGGAAAACCACCATCCCTGGGGCTCAGGCCGCGCCTACGGAGCAGCACAGTGTCTGAGAGAAGCTGGGCACATCCTGTTCGCTGCTTCCCACCATCTCTAGCTGACTCACGACCCCTGATCCAAGGTCAAGGTCACACATGCAGTGGCCGTTCTGTATTGTGCAGGGGATGATGACTGTCTCCTTGCTCAAGATAAACACAATTCTTCCTTCTTGAGCTTTCCTGCCTCGCAGGGTTTCCTGACCAGCACGCCCCGAGGCCACCGAGGAGGGAGGCCACTGGTGAGGGATGACCCTACCCCCTCCCACTTGCATCACCAATCTCCTCTCCCGGCTGGACAGTTCTCAGTGGTAGGCATTCAAGCCAGAACGTTCCCATTGTTCAGCAACCTCCTGCTGATCCCACATCGCTCCAACTCCTGCCCGGTGCAGGCTGCACTTGGAGACACGCCAAGGGGCACTCCTCAGTCAGACCCCTCTTCGTCCTCCAACTTGCCTCTCACCACTCCTCCAGGCACTCTTTCTCAAACTCAGCAGAGTTCTCCAGCTTTCAATGCGCCACAATCGGCCTCATTTTCCTTTTCCCATCAGCTGAGTTTAACGAAAGTGACCACTCCCTGCTTGAAGTACTATCCCCTCCTGCCTTGGAGCTCTCTCACTCACGCTCCCTCTCTCTCCCTCTCATCTTTCTTTCACTCTCCCCTCTGACCATCTCACTGGGTACTCTCTCCCAGTTTCCTTCCCTGATTCTGCTAAGCCTTCCCCATTGGGCGACTACTACACTTCCGAGGCTCTACTACTACACTGCCTCGTTTCCTCTCTGCCCTTGCACTCGCCCCAGCCAGTTCTGCACAGCTTCCCAAGCCATGTCTCCTCACACAAGCAGCATCTAAAGCTTTTCCAAATCCAGCCCACACTCGGCTGAGGAAAAGCCTACTCCAAACCTACTCCTCTGCAGTACAGCCTGTGTCAGTAACTGACCACTCCACTCGTCCACTGGCTCTGCTCTAAAACCTTCGAGTCATCCTGGGCACCCTTCTTCCTTTGACGGTCTTTGTTCTACCATGCAAGCCCCAGCAGTACATGTCTCAAAACAGCTCAATTCTCACCCCTTCCTCCTTGGGCCCCCAAGGCATCCCTCACCAGCTCTCAGGACAGCACCACACTGGTCTCCCTGCTGCCATGCTGCAGTGGCCAGTCACTGCACGGCCACTGGAGGATCTCTGAGACTCTACACAATCCTGTCCTTGCCTAGTGCCCCACGCTCAGATTCCAGGCCTTTCTGTCTCCACTTGGTTGAATCACGGTGGCCTCTTGGCTGTTCCTGAAACACTTGAGCTGGTTCCCGCCATAGGATGCAGGCAATTCTTGCTCCTTCCTCTGCCTGGGGCTCACCCCTTACTTCACTCCATTTCTGCTTCTGTGACATCTTCACCTACCCAACACTAATCATCCTAGCCACGATCTGGGCACTGTGGCTTCTCTGCCTTCAGGATATGATTAAAGGTAAAACACAGTTGCCACCTACACACACACCATCACACACTCTCCCTCTTCTTTGCTTCTCTCCCCTTTATCACTAGCTGCCATTATATTACATATTTGTCTATTCCTTGTTTATTTACTATGTATGAGGACATAAGGGCT